GGGTGTTGAGGAGTAGGTGGGGTGTGAGAAGGGGTGGGGTGTGAGGAGGGGTGGGGTGAGGGAGGGGGTGGGTGTTGAGGAGTACATGTAGGTGGGGGTGTGAGGAGGGGGTGGGTTGGGGGAGCAGATGAAGCATGTAGTGGTTAAGCATTTCGACACCTGTGTGTGTGTGTTTGTGTGTGTGAGAGAAAGAGAGAGAGAGAGAGAGAGAGAGATTGTCTCTCTCTCTCTCTCTCTGTGTGTGTGTGTGTGTGTGTGTGTGTGTGTGAAAGATTGTGTATGTGTGTGTGTGTGATTGTCTCTGTGTGTGTGAGAGAGAGATTGTGTGTGTGGGCGTTTATGTGATGATGATAATTGTGTGTGTGTGTTTGATTGTGATTGTCTTAATTCAGGTAATTGAGTCATAAAATAGTTTAATTATATGTAAACTGCAGGTGCTGGAGTTATCTATAAAAACGGACACGCATGGAAGGAGCTGAGGAGATTCACACTCTCGTCTCTTCGAGATTTCGGCCTTGGGAGAAAAAGTTTACAAGAGAAAATTCAGGATGAGGCCAGATACTTGGTGCAAAACATTGAAAATGAAAATGGAAAGGCTTTCTCTCCCAGAGACAGGATTGGGAAAGCTGTCAGCAACATTATTTCTATCGTAGTGTTTGGAGCTAGGTAACTCAATAGCTATATTAAGCGACTAGAAAAAAATATTTAAGATGTCTTAAATGATTTGCGGAGTATGTGTATAGATCAACATATACTGTCGGTACGGTGCACAAATGTAAGCATAATAATTTAATTAGCCAAACATGTTAGTAATAGATGGTAGCAAGCTTGACTCCAAAACATCGATATATTTCTAGTGATTCATGTTTCCATCAACCACTATCAATTCGCCCACGCCATGGTAAGCATAATAATTTAATTAGCCAGATCATAAAAGAAGTTTTATACTATGCGAAAACGGTTGACAAACGTGAACACGGAACGTATGTGTTAATAATAAGCATTCCATAGAACATTCTACTAGAAATCAATTGGCTTCATCTGAGATCGCCCAGTCTCTCGAAGTATCGGAAAAGCAAACGCAATGTATTCAGTATACATACACACACTGGACAATAGAAGTGTCACCCCTACTGAACCAATACTTTGGGGGAGATAAATGACTGTGGAATGATATGCTCCTGGTATCATTTTACTAACTTCAAATTTCACGAAAAATCACAAAATGAGAACAAAATATACATTCTACCAAAATATGCAGTTTCAAGTCCAAAATTAGTACTTACTGGCATAGCCACGTGACCTAATAATAGGTGCCAGTCTACGAGGCAAGGATTCATCTAATTGTCTGATGCGTTCAGGGCTTATGCTGGCCCAAGCATGAAACACTGAATATAACAGAGTTTCTCTGCTGGTTAGACGGGCATTTGTCAAAAGTTTTGACATATCATTCCACACATTTTCTATTATGTTTGCATCCGGACTCACCACATCACCCTGCGAATGTCCTGTTGGTCAAACCAATCATAAACTGCTATGGGCCTGTGGCAAGGAGCATTGTCATCCTGGTGAACAAATGGATAATTCCTGTCACCAAACATGTTAGTAATAGATGGTAGCAAGCCTGACTCCAAAACATCGATATATTTCTAGTGATTCATGTTTCCATCAACCACTATCAATTCGCCCACGCCATGGATGCTGATGCAGCCCCACACCATGATGAATATGCTGCTCCGGGTTCGAAAATTCAGTGCATGTGGTTCAAATGCTTTACCAGCATTTCGCCAGCATCGTACCCGTCTGTCATCAGAGGTCAGACCAAAGCGACACTCACCAGAAAAAATATTTAGGACCAATTGTCATGGACTGTCCAGTTCCAGATCCTGTTGAGCCTAGTTCATTCTACGTTGCCTGTTTTGTAACGTTTCAGTCTTGCTACCCTGCTGTACACTCTCTGAGCATGTAACCGAGGCCTAGCAATTTTCACAGACACATTCTTATGTGTGAAATTGTTCCACTGTGTTGTCAACTGACAAGAAGTGTCGAACTTTGACAACCTGGACATCAAAATCAGCCGTCGGTCTTCACGGCCAGTAGTTTTTCTTGGACGACCCATCAGAGGGAATTTGTCTCTTGATCCAGTGTTACTATACCGAGACCAGACCCTCTGCACGGTTCTGACTGAACAATTCAACTGTATCGATATTCTGACTTTGCTTATATTCCGCCTCTTCGGGTTAATAACTTGCACCTATAACCGTTAGATAATTGCCTGTATCTTGCCATATTGGAGGAAGACAGGAATAACATTTGATGTACATGTACAAGACCAACAATACAATTCCATGGTATAGCGGTTTTATACTCATTAGTCACATTATATGTAGACCAGGCATTATAACTACCCAAGATCTGCCTACTTTTATTTCTCTGAGTTAGGGGGTGACACTTCTATTGTCCAGTGTGTGTAATTACATTACTACTAGTGGAAAATTACGTTGAAGTTGCACACGTATTTTGGGTCGGAGGCCTTAAATTACGGATCAATCAATCAAAAGAGAGCGTGATCAGAAATCATGGCAGATCGTGCAGCTTTTTCACACTGCAAAGAGCCTGATATTTTGAGGTACCGACTCGTTAATTAATCACTCCAGATATAGAATGGATGCTCTCCTAGAATTAGCAGAAGTTGCAAATAAATTGATTCTACCTGCCATAGATCCGGACCCGTCTGAAAGCCACGTGTTGTAGGGTGAATCGGAAAAACAATGAAATGACTCGGCATATTAAATTTCACTAAGGATTTCCAGCGATTGCCAAGCATATCTCTTGCGGATGTTATGACTTGCTAATAAGAAAATGGTGGGCATTCAATTGTTTCTCCAACCATTTTTCTGTTCCTGGACCCGCGTCTGCTGTGTGGCAACATATATAAACTTACAAAATTTCATCCAGTATTATCTTTCTGGTCGTTTTATCTTACGTTTTGCCATACTGCAATCTATTTTAGAGCAGCTTTTACGTGTCACTTTTGAATGACTTCTTCAATCTAAATTCCCAGCATGGTGAGTTTCACTTCATCCGCTGAAAAGCCCCACTTCACGCAAATTCTCGTTTTAAAATCTCATATGACGTCACTAGTACCAACAGTCTATTTTAATGCGATCTCGGATGAAGTCCGTTATGTTATTTTTTATAAAAGAGAGTGACAATTTCCTTGAAACGATTTCAGATATGACTATGAAGACACCCCAGAGATGTTGCCAGTTTTGGAGGAATCAGTGAGAATGAACAAAGGAGGACCACTGGCCTTTACCAATTTGGCGCGCTTCTTTTTTCCGGTAAAATGGAATTATTCGAAATATTTTGCATAGGACCTTTTACATAGTGTTTATTATTTACCTATATATTTTTCTTCATTTCATTTTCATTCCTGGTGTTATATTTTGTTACATTTTGAGCAATACTAAATGAATTCATATATTTCAAAATCAGACCATTGTCGACCAGCAAAACTTACTTTACTTGTAAAAAGTTTGAGTGACAAAGCTTGTGCCTTAAACCACAAGAATTTTTCGATTCCTACAAAATTAGTCAAAGTTTTATTTCACATGAAAAATATATTCGCCCTCGTGGACAAATGGTACATTTTGTATTTGGTTCTTATAGAAAGCCTGTTGCAAAATATTTGTCAAAAATCACAAGAATGTTGTTTGATTTAAACAAAATTTGATAACTTTCATTTCAGAAAAAGAAATTCGCCCTCGTGGATAAATTATATTGTTTGATAAGACAGGAAGTGGAACGACACCGTCAGTCCTTTGATCCCACTGACATCCGGGACTTCATTGACCTCTATATAAAGGTCACCCAAGAGAGACTAGATTCAAAGATTTTCACTGGTATGTAACCGTTAAATGACGATTTTACGTACAAATCTGATCCCAACTTGATGTGATATAACAGATGACCCTATTAAATATCCATAATTTCCATTACCGTCTTCTGATTTTAATCTCTGCCTATTGATTGTAACCACCCTCTACTTATTATTATTATTATTACAGAATGGAACGTATTCCGCATCATCTTTGATCTATATTTGGCTGGAACCGACACAACAGCTAATACTTTGAGATGGTCCCTGGTTCATATGGTAAATCACCCGGATGTACAGAAGAGGGTGCAGCAAGAAATTGATCAGGTAACGACCCCCAGTATAAATGAACAAGAGCGGCAGAATTAGACGATCTTGTGTTATTATTTTTTAACTTTTTTATTCTGTGTAAAATATATGTGTTTATGCCTCGTTGTTTGTAATACATGTTCATGAAATTTGGCGTTTAACGATTTGTCGAGAGGCAAATTGTAACTGGGTTGACTTCTTATAGCCAACACATTCATATTGGCCCTCTCTATGGCCACCGCATGAGCCGGTTTTCATTAAATATATATAATAGTTCTGAATGTGATTTTCACTATCTTAAAACTTCGTGGTTCTGTATCAAAGCAGGTACTTGGTATAAACTTTGTTTCGGTCAGCTGGGATAGTGGATCTTTGGCGTCGGTCAATTATCCCCACTTCGCTATCTCCACTTTGAACCGAGCCTAGAGGTGATCTCAGCTAAAGTCAGAAATCGTAGAATGTACCTAAATTAAAGCACGTGTTTCGTAACCATATGACATACTTTGTTTGGTAAATATATTTTTTATCTAAGGTCATAGGTCAAGGTCGTGTTGCCAAGATGGAGGACAAAGCCAGGATGCCGTTCACTGAAGCAACCATATTGGAGGTCTTTCGCATGTCTCCTGTTGGTAAGTAACTTATTCGCACTTTTTTTTACATATTTCAAATTTAGATACCAATGCCAATAAAAACACCATTCAACAGTCAGAGAGATACATCAGTGTTTGCTTAATTAAATATCGTCTTGGAAAACTGCGACATCTAATTAATTAAAAAATGGAAAACAAAGAAAATAAAAAGAAAATTTGTCCGGTATCTGGTCCTGTTTCTGGGGTAAAAATACACACACTGGACAAAAGCAGTGTCACCCCCTAACTCAGAGTAATAAAAGTAGGCAGATCTTGGGTACTTATTATGCCTGGTCTACTTATAATGTGACTAATGAGTATAAAACCGCTTTACCATTGAATTGTATTGTTGGTCTTGTACATGTACAGCAAATGTTATTCCTGTCTTCCTCCAATATGGCAAGATACAGGCAATTATCTAACGGTTATAGGTGCAAGTTATTAACCTGAAGAGGCGGAATATAAGCAATGTCAGAATATCGATACAATTGAATTGTTCAGTCAGAACCGTGCAGAGGGTCTGGTCTCGGTATAGAAACACTGGATCAAGAGAGAAATTCCCTCTGATGGGTCGTCCAAGAAAAAATACTGGCCGTGAAGACCGACGACTGATTTTGATGTCCAGGTTGTCAAAGTTCGACACTGCTTGTCAGTTGACAACACAGTGGAACAATTTCACACATAAGAATGTGTCTGTGAAAATTGCTAGGCGTCGGTTACATACTCAGAGAGTGTACAGCAGGGTAGCAAGACTGAAATCTCTTATATCGTTACAAAACAGGCAACGTAGAGTAAACTAGGGTCANTTATTATTATTATTATTACTATACCGAGACCAGACCCTCTGCACGGTTCTGACTGAACAATTCAACTGTATCGATATTCTGACTTTGCTTATATTCCGCCTCTTCGGGTTAATAACTTGCACCTATAACCGTTAGATAATTGCCTGTATCTTGCCATATTGGAGGAAGACAGGAATAACATTTGCTGTACATGTACAAGACCAACAATACAATTCCATGGTATAGCGGTTTTATACTCGTTAGTCACATTATAAGTAGACCAGGCATTATAACTACCCAAGATCTGCCTACTTTTATTACTCTGAGTTAGGGGGTGACACTTCTATTGTCCAGTGTGTGTAATTACATTACTACTAGTGGAAAATTACGTTGAAGTTGCACACGTATTTTGGGTCGGAGGCCTTAAATTACGGATCAATCAATCAAAAGAGAGCGTGATCAGAAATCATGGCAGATCGTGCAGCTTTTTCACACTGCAAAGAGCCTGATATTTTGAGTTACCGACTCGTTAATTAATCATTCCAGACAAATAAATTGATTCTACCTGCCATAGATCCGGACCTGTCTGAAAGCCACGTGTTGTAGGGTGAATCGGAAAAACAATGAAATGACTCGGCATATTAAAATTGCACGAAGCATTTCAAGCTATTGCCAAGCATATCTCTTGCGGATGTTATGACTTGCTTATAAGAAAATGGTGGGCATTCAATTGTTTCTCCAACCATTTTTGTCTATTCCTGGACCCGCGCCTGCTGTGTGTCAACAAATATAAACTTACAAAATTTCATCCAATATTATCTTTCTGGTCGTTTTATCTTAAGTTTTGCCATACTGCAATCTATTTTAGAGCACCTTTTACGTGTCACTTTTGAATGACTTCTTCAATCGAAATTCCCAGCATGGTGAGTTTCACTTCATCCGCTGAAAAGTCCCACTTCACGCAAATTCTCGTTTTAAAATCTCATATGACGTCACTAGTACCAACAGTCTCTTTTAATGCGATCTCGGATGAAGTCCGTTATGTTATTTTTTATAAAAGAAAGTGACAATTTCCTTGAAACGATTTCAGATATGACTATGAAGACACCCCAGAGATGTTGCCAGTTTTGGAGGAATCAGTGAGAATGAACAAAGGAGGACCACTGGCCTTTACTAATTTGGCGCGCTTCTTTTTTCCGGTAAAATGGAATTATTCGAAATATTTTGCATAGGACCTTTAACATAGTGTTTATTATTCACCTATATATTTTTCTTCATTTCATTTTCATTCCTGGTGTTATATTTTGTTAAATTTTGAGCAATACTAAATGAATTCATATAAATTATTTTAAAATCAGACCATTGTCGACCAGCAGAACTTACTTTACTTGTAAAATGTTTGAGTGTCCACAAGAATTTTTCGATTCCTACAAAATTAGTCAAAGTTTTATTTCACATGAAAAATATATTCGCCCTCGTGGACAAATGGTATATTTTGTATTTGGTTCTTATAGAAAGCCTGCTGCAAAATATTTGTTAAAAATCACAAGAATGTTATTTGATTTAAACAAAATTTGATAACTTTCATTTCAGAAAAAGAAATTCGCCCTCGTGGATAAATTATATTGTTTGATAAGACAGGAAGTGGAACGACACCGTCAGTCCTTTGATCCAACTGACATCCGGGACTTCATTGACCTCTATATAAAGGTCACCCAAGAGAGACTAGATTCAAAGATTTTCACTGGTATGTAACCGTTAAATGACGATTTTACGTACAAATCTGATCCCGACTTGATGTGATATAACAGATGACCCTATTAAATATCCATAATTTCCATCACCATCTTCTGATTGTAATCTCTGCCTATTGATTGTAACCACCCTCTACTTATTATTATTATTATTATTATTATTATTATTATTATTATTATTACAGAATGGAACGTATTCCGCATCATCTTTGATCTATATTTGGCTGGAACCGACACAACAGCTAATACTTTGAGATGGTCCCTGGTTCATATGGTAAATCATAAATCACCCGGATGTACAGAAGAGGGTGCAGCAAGAAATTGATCAGGTAACGACCCCCAGTATAAATGAACAAGAGCGGCAGAATAAGACGATCTTGTGTTATTATTTTTTAACTTTTTTATTCTGTGTTAAATATATGTGTTTATGCCTCGTTGTTTGTAACACATGTTCATGAAATTTGGCGTTTAACGATTTGTCGAGAGGCAAACTGTAAGTGGGTTGACTTCTTTTAGCCAACACATTCATACTGGCCCTCTCTTTGGCCACCGGATGAGCTGGTTTTCATTAAATAGTTCTGAATGTGATTTTCACTATCTTAAAACTTCGTACTTCTATATCAAAGCAGGTACTTGGTATAAACTCTATGTTTCGGTCAGTTGGGATAGTGGATGTTTGGCGTCGGTCAATTATCCCCACTTCGCTATCCCCACTTTGAACAGAGCCTAGAGGTGATCTCAGCTGAAGTCAGTAATCGTAGAATGTAACTAAATTAAAGCACGTGTTTCGTAACGACATAATAAACTTTGTTTGGTAAATATTTTTTATCTAAGGTCATAGGTCAAGGTCGTGTTGCCAAGATGGAGGACAAGGCCAGGATGCCGTTCACTGAAGCAACCATATTGGAGGTCTTTCGCATGTCTCCTGTTGGTAAGTAACTTATTCGCACTTTTTTTTACATATTTCAAATTTAGATACCAATGCCAATAAAAACACCATTTAACAGTAAGTAAGATACATCAGTGTTTGCTTATTTCAATATCGTCTTGGAAAACTGCGACATCTAATTAATTAAAAATGGAAAACAAAGAAAATTTAAAGAAGAAAAGAATTTGTCCGATTTCTGGTCCTGTTTCTGGGGTGAAAATACATGTACATGTAGTTCTCGTCTGAACAAACTTATGGAGAAAAGTGGAACGAATAGAAGCACGCATAATTCATTCACGTGTAGTTCGTTTGAATTAGTCTATTGTAGAACAGAACCAATTTACCTTTGGGTGCCACTTTTAAGTTGCTTCCTAATATTTCCTTCTCGAGACACTGAGTGCCAGCCTGTATAATTGACCCAACCTCTCGTGAATTCTCGCAAGTTGTCCAGTCTCGTATGGCGCCACGCTGTGGTTTCCATTCAAACGAATCCTTTCAAGAACGAAACAAATCTTTCATTCCATGTCATCAGTTCCCATGGGTGGGCCCCATGCCACCAGTGAATCTACAACTTTGGCCGGATACACCATTCCCAAGGGCACCATAATACTGGGAGATTTGTACCGGGTTCTTCACGATAAGAATAACTTTGAGGATCCTTACAAGTTCAAACCAGAAAGATGGCTTGATTGCGATGGTAAAGTGATCAAGTCGGACAAAATGATACCATTTTCCATAGGTACGTTACTTTACATTACACCTACATGTTAACTGTGCAGCAGCGCATTAGTGAATTTCTTTATTTATATCTGTATAAACAACTAAACCTTGTCTCTGTTAGGAAAATCAGAATTGCTCCAATCCTATCCAATAAGAAATACCCAAGACCTACTTTATGCAAATAATATACTATCTGATACCTTTCACATTAATCTTTGAACCATGATATGATATTAGTAAATATAATAATGAAAAAAAAATAAAAGAAAGAAAAAGAAACCGGACTGAGTGGGAATCGTTGGCAGCAAATTACGTTGCCACTCGGCCAGCTAATCCTGATATTTGTTATGATATTGAAAATATATGATTCCTGTCACACATGGCAAAGCTTTAAGGAAATTGTCGAAGGCTAGAAAATGCCTACAAAAATACTTTTAACAGTTAAAACCAAATTCAAACTGCGGCCACTATCTTCCCACTGCCCTAAAGTATTGCTAACACCTGTCAGTTGTGAACAGATCTTTCTAGTTTAGGAGAAAAACGTGAAGAGGAGACACCAGCTGATCTATTATATATATAGATATAAATTTATTTATTTTCTCATTGTTATCGGTTATTTGTATTTCAGGGCCTCGTGTTTGTCTTGGTAAGGGACTGGCTGAAATGGAATCGTTCATTTTCTTCAGCACGTTGCTTCAGAATTTCACCTTCAAGGTACCGGAGGGGGAAAACCCACCCAATGGAATGGAGGGTCTGAACGCGATCATTTTCTCGCCACACGATTACAATGTGTGGGCAGTTAGGCGCTAGAATTAAATACACGGACTGAAGCGATAAACTGAACTTTTACTCCAAATCGCCACGTTCAATGTAGCTCTGAAAATCCTAGGCGAAGTGCAAAAGAAAAAATAAATCTTTGCGCAAACAAATTGCAAAGAATTCGCTTTTTTGTATCTTGCCCTGATTGTTAGATATGGAAATCAGATATGTTATATAAAAATATATGTACACAATACCGCCCTATCGAAATGATAAAATGAGTTGTTAACTTAAAGAGAATAAAAAGATAAACAAAATGTGAATGTAGATCTTTCCAGTTAACAAAAGCTGGAATATGAAGCGGTCTTTTACAACATGAAAAGTGATAGCTGAACTCTTGAAAAATAAAAGTTCATGAAAATGTAAATGACGGTGTTTTCGAGGGGTGAAAGGACATTTTACATAATGGAAGTTAAAAGATGACCTTTCGTCACGAAAATGTGATCACAGATGAGGGTAACATTTCGGTAACATTTTGTCAATAAATGAAAGGTTTTAAAAGGTGTTTTGTTTGGGCAGTGAATGAGATTCAAGTGCTCTTCTGTTCAAAAAATCAAGACCCTATCACTTGGTTTTCGGTTTGAACATCTTGTATCAGAAAGGGCTTCTACTCATCCGGGATATTTATGAGAACTGCATTAAGACATCTGAATGCATACACGATATTCATCACGATTTTATTTATGTTATTGTCATAACTTAGCTGGTTTCTGGTATAAGATATGTAAATACATATGCATGCTCTCAAGATCGTAGTTAGATTTGAGCAAGTAGTATTTTGTTAAAACTTGGGTTGAATTGACGGATAACTTTTGCGCCTGTTTTTAAAATCATTCCTTGAACTTTCGTGTGGAATCTCGCCATCTCTTCATGTTAAAAACATGGTTGCATAATACGCCTCTGCAGTAATACCTGCACGTACACACGTATACATTGCACATAAAGATGTCAGGAATAGATCTTGTTTCGTATGGTATACATGTATAATGTCTTACAGCGGTATACCGCTTATGCAATTCTAGCTCTTACAAAAACTGGAGAAGCTGCTGTTACTGTGGAATCCAAAATGGCCAATGCCGTACAGAGTTCCTCTGAGTTTTTCCAAACCCTTGGTTTTCCGACAGTTTTGATATTCGTGATAGTATTGTTGTTAAGTCTGTGGATGTTGTCGTCGAGGAATCCTCGGGTGAACTGGCCGCTCGGACCTTTCTGTTTCCTCGTGGTGGGATGTCTCCCTCAGCTGATGATCAGCGGTAAAAGACGACAACCGACAGATCTTCTTCCATGGTATGATACATACGGAGATATCATGCACATCAAACTTGGCGAACAACACATAATAATGCTGGGGACTTATGAGCTGATAGAAGAGGGAAAGCTATCCAAATCTTCGTGTGCGATGGAAATTGTTACGCGTGACCAGCTTTCCTTTATGTAGCAGTGCGTTACGAATACTCAAGTTTAAATGAATATAAGAGCTGCCCAATTTTTCATTATGTAGATATTTTTATGAAATCCACCTACTTAATTAAGTCTACATATAAATCAGTGTGGGGATGGGGGGTGAGCACGAAGCGGGTGAAGCGTGCACGATGTTATAGTAGTTGCAAGCAGTTCAGAAAAGCAATTCACGTTCTTGGGAAAAGGAAGATCTTTAGTAAACAAGAGAAGTCAACATTTAGCCATGTAGCTGCAAAATGCATATATCTGTGTTTAGGTTTCTTTCCTCTCTCTCTCACTCTCTCGTCGCAAATCTTCCTCTCGTGTTTGTGTATATTTGTCATGGTTCGTTTCATCTCAGTCACTGTCATTTACGTCACAAGAAAAACTAAGATAACCACAAGTCAAGTAAACATCGTATAGGTAAAGCAGCAATAAGCGTACCAAGTCAGTCTCGTGAGCAAACCAAAATGGGTCTTGGACATGTGAAGACAGTAGTTCCAAAAATGTCACTGTGGACTGGTGCAAAATAATTATAGATTTATTTATAAAGAATAACGCAGACGCACTTCTTACCGCTGTTGTGATTAGATATTGGCATATTTGTGCTTTGTGTTAACAATTGAAAACGGCCATTTTAAACCATTGCTAAATACTCCGATTGAGACATCTTTGTCGATTAACTGATGAATTCATTTTAATAGCTCGATGCTGGAAAATCAACAATGGAGAAAAAAGGCATTCCTAATTCAATGTGAATTCGGTATGACTATCAGTAAGACGCGGTGATGAAACAGAGCGAGATCTACTGTACGTGAGAGACTGATGTCATCTACGGGAAGGGAAATGTGCCGAAAAAATACCGGTAACAAACTCGTGTACGTACCAAAGTCGTCTGGCAGTGTCACGTCCTGAAAAGCGCTATACCGAATCCCCAAATATTGCAAAATTTAACTATCATTAAAACATGTGCGCTAATTTTCTTAGCAGACTACCATCCAGGTGTGACAGTGATGGTAGTCCGCTTGGAAACGTAGTCCGTTTTCCGTTACTTAGTACAGGTGCATTCCATCCGATATACTAACCCCAATACTATGACAAATCTTAGCTTGTACTAATCATAAAGGGACCCTGGACTTCTATTTCTTGGACTACCTTTCCTGGCACACCAATAACATTCGTGAAGACTAATGCCACTTACCAAATGATGCTCCTAAGAGCTTTGAACTGCGTCGTGCCGTGGCAACTGTCTGGTATATTTTCAACTAACATTAAACTATGATATATGTTCACATCACGTTTGCTGCCCATATCACTGATCAGACCCGTAGCTTGGCAGCCTATTATATGGAGCATATTTGGGGCAGGCAATCAATTCCAAGAAGGTCTAATTGATTATAAAGACCATGGTAATTGGAAGTGCATATAGCCAGTGTTAACGGAATATGAACACATTTCCTGGAAATACATTTCATTCCCGTATCAAACCCGTAGCTAAGCCGCCTTTGGAACATATTTGAGGCAGGCCATTAATTCAGAAAGTAACTAAAACCTCAGGTTCAAGCAGAGCTGATGATTGGCAAAACAAAAAGTTTGCTTATTATGAAAAATCGTAATGTATGGGTTATGAATTCATTTCGTGTTATATGACAAACACATATACCTTAGTACATCTTTCACGCGTGAGATAAATTACTGTCACGAGCGTTATATGCCAGAACGAGGTGTTCGTAGCATATATCGCGAGAGGCTGGCATTTAATTATTTGATGTACATACCGAGAGAAGGTACTTGCATTTCACCAAAAAATGTTCTTTTGGCGGTGTTGTGTCTTTCATATACAGACTTGACATTTAACATGGAATATTTTTTCCAATTCATAATTCATCAGATTTTTTCCTATTTTGCTGACTGACAAATGAAAATAAGAATTAAAATCGTGTTTTAATAACTTTTGATAATCTTTTCGATGTCATTGTGACATCAGTTCATTAATTGAATTCGCCAGTGAAGCATACAAAAATACATTGCCTATTTTAAGTCATACGACAACCATTGAAGGCGATATTTTGGATCTCCATATTTTCCTAATTATTGTCTTTAGAAGAGTAACACGTCCCACAAAGTCCCCCCATCCCCCCCCCCCCCCCCCATGTCAGTGTCTAGTCCAGTTTAGTGTTCGCTAAGAGCCTTGACAATTTGCCCCTCAAAACGGACTGGTGGCTTGGTTTAATTGCAGCAACATATCCTGAACGACAATGAGTCCTGTACCCTTGTGGTAAGACGTCGGTGCATTGGGCGTGGTCTCTGTGTAGGTACATCAGTCTGGGCATTACTCTTTTAAAACTGTGTAGACCATTCCGTTTGACACAATAATCTGTCTGGCAATGTCTGTGCTTTTCGTGCCATTCTGGCACAGTTTGACAATTTTGTAAAACACTGCTTAACTCATTCAACTAACATTAAAATATGATATACTGTATGTTCACCCGTGTTGAAGGCTTGTCGCGCCGTCTACAGGAGATAATTGAAGTACGCGGTAGACGCACACGCTGTTAGGCACGAGATCTTTAACGAGCACACCCTATAATGCTAGTTGTGTGTGAATTTGGTGACATTTGATGGCGTATTTTCAATTTTATAGACATTTCTTTACATCTGTAGAAGTCACAGTGAAACAGTCGATTTCAGGGGGTACCTCTTATTAATTTTACTAAATGGTATAAATTTTTCACCATTATTTTGTATTTTTTTAACCATTAATCATGATAGACACGGTATCTGTAATAAAAAGCATTATTTCTTACAATTTACAGCTGTGAGGCGATCATTTGTAAATAAAAGTACATGGAAATAGGGGTGGGACAACCTTTTTGACCGATGTTGTAGCTTATTTTATTTGACGTTTTCAATTTCCTGGAAGATATTCACTTTCCAATATAAATATCCAGTAGAAAATTGTCGATTGTTTTTTGCTTATATATAGAACATGCATAATTGTATTTTAAGGTATCTTTCCAGACTGAATTATTATGTCCAGTTATTGTGTTGTTACATGTATTCCAATCAATATCTTGTCATCACTTTACCACCCTTCTTCCCACAAAGATTAAGTTTATAAATGTGAATAAATGTGAATAAATGGTATTAAATATGGATATCTTCACCGCTATTTTGTATTTTCTGTACCACTAATCATGTTAGCTATGGCATCTGGAATGAAAATCACCATTCATAGCAATTAACACCTGTGATGTGATCATTTATAAATAAAAGCACGTGAAACTGGGCGTGGGACAACCTTTTTGACCAATGTTGTATGAAAGAAGCAACACCACATTCATTGAACATTTTTTAATGTGTCTTATTGATAAAAGAAAATAACAGGTATTTAACCGTATTTTAAATTCAAAATGAGCATTGAATACTTTCCTTAGGAGAGAACACGAGGTGAGTTAAAACACGTGCCAAGTCTTTTTAAGATTACATTATGTGCATAAAGAGTTCTCGGAATTTTTCTCAATACTTTTCAGTGTTATAACCTTGGTGGTACCTCATTACCTGTCGTTTGTTTATGAAGATATTTTGTATTTCTGAAGAAAATTTCGATTTATCCCGTAATGGGTTTCACTGTCACTGCGTGTAGACGCTAGACATAAAGCAGTCGAAGTATTCAGCGCCCCACTCACCCCCTCCTTCAAATAAAAAAATTAGTAGGATTCGATGAACGAATGGTTTGGATTTTAAAAAGCCTTTAAAAAGGTAGTCTATGATTGAAAAAATTAAGAAAAGGAAGAAGAAACATTTGTTCTGCAGTGATAAATTTATTCAGGGAAATCTGCTGTGTAAGCATAATTAGCCAATTGGAGTACAACTAGTACATTAGGACGTTATTTCCACTGAAGTGGAAAGGACTCAAATAACCAAGCATGGAGTAGACAAAGCCAAATTGGCTTCACTGACACCCGTAAGTTTTCCAGGCAATGCGTACTGTATGATGTGTATATTGGCGTAGTTGACAACCTGGGCAGAGGGTGAGCTGATAGTCCCCTCATCTCTGAGGACCTGCAACCAGGCAGCCACGGCACCGGTCACAAATGGAGCTGCCATGGAGGTGCCGCTCATTATAGTATATTTATCGTTTCCAGAGAAGTCAGCAGCTTCGATACCCTCACCCGGGGCGTAAAGATCCACACAATATCCATGGTTACTAAAACTAGCCTTTTCAAAGCCCTCATTAAACGCTCCGACAGTGAGGGCATTGGCCGTGCTGGCTGGAGAGTAATCGCAAGCGTTGTCATTGGCATTACCTGCTGAAACAATTGCGGGGATACCAGCTGCAAGTAGATCATCGACTGCGTCGTTCAGAGACCTGATGAACGGAGCACCAATACTAAAGTTAATAACGGAGAGTCGCCCAGAGCTTTGCACTCTTTGTTTTGCCCACAGACAAGCATTCAATATATCGGAAAGAGGGCATCCATAATTTGAACAAATCTTCAGGGAAATGATGTTAGCACTCTTTGCCACGCCAGAATTGGTTCCCCCGATGATACTGGCCACGTGGGTACCGTGACCATGGTCGTCAACACTTGTAGATGTCGGCCAGCCTGAAAAAAATAATAATAAAAAATAAATCAATCATTTTCATGTGGTAAACCTTAAACTGATCAATGTTGAACTTCTTTCATTTGACTTTACTAGCAAGGAGCATGAAGGTGTCTCATTTCGGTTGAATATTCCGTAAACTGAGCAATTGTACAAACTTGGTCCAAATATAACTATCTTGTACTATAAAAACGCACATTTGAGATGTATAATAGCAGTTGTATTTTAACTATATTTTATGAGGAGCTATCATATTGCCGAAGAGACATGTACAACATCCCCATTTCAATGCAACATTAAGAGAATCCTGATTTCCCAATCTTCACAATGGGGAGATATATTCACTCTCTGAGGATGCCGTTTTCTTTTTAAATCCTAGTAATGCTTGCATTAGCTGTCGTTGAACGTAAGACCGCCGTGCTCCCTTTTTGGCCCCCTTTTGCTACTCAGGTGTTCTTTTGCTGCAACGCTGCAGCTAATCAGACTGTAACTCACCAACGGTAACTCTCCCCGAGAAATCTTCATGGTTTGGATTGATGCCTGTGTCTGCCACATATACATCTATTCCCTCTCCATCTCCCCAGATGTTGTATTCATAATTGTATTGATCACCATCAAGGGCATCCAACCCCTGCAAGTAAGGGAATGACTGCAATCAACAAATTCTTACATAAGGAATTTTCCAGATATGTACAGTTCTTGTACAGTCTTGCCAGAAAATATATGGAAAATGCAAAAAGATCGCCGTGTTGAAAATAAATAGATGGAAAACAGCTTCATTAAACCAAACCACAAGATTTTAGAGAGGACAATATAAAGATACTGACTGTCAATGAAAACGCATCATTTATCTATCAAATAATATATTAAGTTCTTTTGGAACATTAAGAAAATAACAGTTTTCGGGTGAAATATGTGAAATATGAAATAGTGGTCAGCCCACTCTCTTATGACCAAACAAGTGCATTGGTTCTCGTTTATATGGTTGGAATCGATTCTCGGTAAAAAAAAGAACAAGAAAGTTTTCTGATGCGTTTTCACTGACTGTCAGTATATGTTTGGTTGCTGGACAGTTTTGAGATAGACACTACACTCGTGAAAAGCAAATTAAATGCACCCTTAACTTCAAACATTGCTCAGATGTATGACAAAGAGTATAGGACTTTAACCTTATAAGTATGTTACCAATAGTCAAAAAGATTCATACATTTAGAAAAGTTTGTTGACTTCGTGACCGAAAGTGAACTGCTTTTAGAAATCAGTACAATCAACATACCAAAATGTTATTGGAATTAAAACATATGAAGCCTTTAAGTTATAAGGTCTATCTTTCTGCATTAACATCAGCATTAACATACCCAATAATGTCTTCCAGAAAACCATGACATATAGGATTTGCAGTATTCAGTGTTTAGTTTTAACTTAACATCCTGTTCAATTTCCGCAATGACATTGGTGAGTTGTCGCAGGGCGTGGAGGTTGCTTAAACATTATTAAACATACTCATAAATACAGTAATAGATTTCAAGAAGGTATATTTCAAATATGAAATTATTAATTGATGACCAATGCGTATTTTAAATATTTTCTCCTTATTATTTTTTTATTTGCTTTTTAGCCCAAAGTGTTATTTGATCAGTAGTTTATAGTTAAGACGATGGCAAAATATTTTATATATCTACAAAACAAAATTTTACAAATGTGTAGAAACGAATGAAAAACAAACTGTTAAGAATGCGCTGTGTTCAACCTTTTACTTATGTTTCGCAGAATGACGAAATCCTTGTCTTTATTAAACTTAACTTGTTGTCTTCGTCCAGCTCCTTTGATGATTCTACGTACTAGATAAATAAAATTGTTTCTTGTAAATGGTTTACATAATAAATCCATTTAAAGCTAGATAAAGCAGAGATGGTTCGGAACCCAAGCCCATATTAGAAAATACTACAAATGCACCCAGTGAACAATGAACTTCACCAGGACTAATAATTAACTAATAATCAACCATTAGTTAATGGATGGACCATCACCAAAATCTTGTCACTTTAAAGTTAGCCCATTTTGACCTATCCTGATTATCTCATCAAAATCCGTCCATGCATTTTTGCGTTAAGTTGCGAACAAACTACCAAACTAACAAAAGCAAAAAAAAAAAAAAAAACCTTCTTGGTCATAAGGAGGTGATAAAGCACAGTGTGTGAGCTGGAAAAATACCCCCTGCTAAGATTCGAAATGAAAGAGTTGTACGTCCCATTAACCAAAAAAAAAAATATATATATATATATATATATATATATATATATATATATATATATATATATATCACAAACTTTTACTGAACATTGTTTACGCAAAAAAAAGCAAAAGTTTCAGAACAAACATGGTTCAGCTTCAGCTTGTTTTATTTTTTTCCACTGGTGCTTGCTTGCAGCGTTTCAGCGTCAACGGCATTTGGTTTGAATTGACCACCACAACCACAAATGCCAGACGACCTTAATGTCCTCTCCCGTTGCCCTGCGATCCAGTAAAATTAAATATACATTCAGATAAAATTAAAGGAACAAAGTGACTGGTACACGTAGGGCCAAAAGTATTCAATTTCATTGGCAAAGGATATAGTTAGATACGTTTACTTACTTGGACCGTAGTTTGCACCGGGCAGAAGTCGAGCAATGTAATGCCCTGACACAGAACCATTCATGTACTCAACAAGTGACACTGTGGGAGATATGAATAAGAATGAATCAGCCATTGTTAAAATACTCCTTTGCGCTTTAGTTTGGGTGCATTTTTATAATCACTCAACGATATATAGGCCTCTTTTTGGTCACTTATAATGCTCTATAGTTCAAAGTGCACGGTTGAGCCCCCTTTACAATAGACGGCGTCCTTTCTGCATCCAGCAGTTCGGCCCCATTTGAGAGTTAAAAAATTGTAATACTTTTCGTGCCGACAACTGGCCGATCATTGAGCATTCATTCTGATACAAAATCAATGCTTGTGCCTCCTTATTAAGACCACAGCGATGCCAAATTTCATGGTCGCAGAAAGGACGCCTTCCAGTGTAAAGGGGGTATAACTGATCAAATAATGTTTGTCATGTAAGATGTCTTCATGTTGTGTATTAATCAAACTATCTTGCTGTGAATTTATTTTCTCTACATTTGATAAAACGTATTTTCTATTCTGAAACATTTTAATTGTCAAGTGTTAAATACATCAACAATCAAATGAACAAATCTATAAGTTGCCTTTCCTTCATACGGGTACATTGACAGAAAAATCGGTGTTATTTAACAAATAGAGCATGAGCAACGGGAAAAGTTTATTATAAATTTCTTCCACTATGTTGTGGGATAACGCCTCGCATTTCAAAATCAAAGATTACACATTTTGTGCAGTTAGTCACCAATTCTACTTGCCTAAGCCTTGTTCTTCTGACACTCTTAATACACCAGCATCTTGCAACTTTTTTCGAATGGTTCTGTGGTCCCATTTTTTCCTTGCCTGTGCCTCGGGTGCATCTATAGGTGTAATGTTGTACTCCTCCCCTCTCTGATCTGCAACTGTCATTGTAAACAGCCAGAAAGCCAAAACACCTATCATCGCCGATACCTGCATCTTCTATAAACAATTATTTCAATTATTTTAAATGGAAAACTTGATTTAGTCTTTCAAATAATAGGATGATTTCAAATAAGATTATGTGAGGTTGAACAAAATTTTTCAAATGTTTGTATAATTTGTTATTCTTCATGCGTCGGCTCATCTTAATTGCCACTTAAAATTAATTTGTGTAGTGAAATGTTCACAAGCACAACGAAGCTCTGCTTCTCCTCAAAATTAAATATAAAATAAGGCCATATGACTGATATTGTCAATGACGAAATGACAAAATTTAATACGACACGAAGATAAGTATCTAGTTAGATTGGAGTGGTAACAACATTACATTAAATGACCACCATACATCCCATACAATGGAGCAAAGAGTTGGCAAAGAGCAAAACAATGACTGGCAAAGAGTAACTGTGGCCAATAAAATGTAATATGATACGAAATGACAAGATTGGGGGGGGGGGGTAGTTACAACATCAAATTAATTAATAGCACATAGATCTAGAGAGACAGATGACCCCTTAGCTCCACTCTTATGGAAAGGATAATGTCCGGTTGAATTTCATAACTAACACGAAACTAAAAGAATCAGATCCAAAGATTTGGAAGGATAGAAGACTATACATTTTACTGCTCTGTGCTTGGTATCAAACAGTTAACAAGGACAATTGTACTGTAATATATATGGGGGACTGGGATGGTCAACTGCTTGGTTTTGATTCGATTTTCTCGTTATACTGCTTTTTTGGAGACAAAAAGGAGAAAGAGGAATATCGGAAGTGTATTACTTGGGAAAGAAAAGTGTGTAAGAAAAAAGGGTTATATTTAATACATTCTATTGTGCAAAAAAAAAAAAAAGGCAACCAATTGAAAACTCGTAAAATATTTGACAGCTTGCTTGTTGTTGCATTGCATTGCATTAATGGTTAATGGCTTGCCCGCATGCTTCTATTAAATAGATTTAATATAGGACAGACGTAGGATTTTGTGAGGGTAGAACGTATCGAATTTGCCGTACCAGCTAGGTCAACTGCGTTGTTGTTTCTGCTAGAATTTCTGTTAAAATTTCCAAGGACAAGTAGATTTAGCACGGGGCAACATAAAGGTGGTTCAATAGGTTGTAATAGCCTAAATTAGTCAAAAGAGCTATTCTTCTGTTTCTTTTTTTTAACATAAAATTTACATACAGATATTAATGCAATGAAATTCAAAACTTTTAGAGCAAAAGTTCCCTTTTCATTATACTGCTCACCACCCCATGCAGATCTTGTATGAAGCTCTCTCCCCCTCCCCCCCCAAATAATCGTCAATTTATATGGTTTTATAATGATAGTGATCTAATTACGTCTTAACTCGGGGGCTTAGTCAGGCAAAGTCAGGAAAAAGGTACTGCAACCGGTCTATTGTATTTGACTGGCTGATGTCCTGTAACAGGAGAAAAATGCACTCAAAACAACACGTTGCGAACACGTGTTGGCTTGGCAAGTAGTACGGGGGTCCCGCATTGCAACTTTCTAAACATACTATATATACAGAACCTGTCATATTGCAAAATTCATCATTAACATGTGTGCAAATTTTAAAGATACACTGTAGCTCTGTAACATTCGTAAAGAGTAATGCCACTTACCAAATGATGCTCCTTTTCCTTTGAACAGTGCCGTTTACTTTGAACAACGTTCTGATATATTTTCAACCAGCGTTAAAATATGATATATGTTCACATCACGTTTGCCTTCCATATCAGACCCGTAGCTTGACAGCCTATGGAGTATATTTGGGGCAGGCCATCAGTTCCAAATGGGTCTATTTGATTAAAAAGTGCATGCTGATTGGCAGTTCATATAGCTAATGCACACGGAATACGTATACATTTTCTGATGTGCGCCGCTATACCAGAGCCGTAGCTTAGTCGCTTTTAAGACATATTTAGGACCGGTTTTTAAAACAGAGGTCGTTTAATCCCAAGTTAGCTATGATAAAATATCCCTCAGTTCAAGGCGTCCTCCTTAAAATACGCACTGTCCGAAAATATGTCTTTCTTGTCCTGAAGCCGGCGTAATGTTTCATTTAATCGGACAAATACTGATTTAGCTTGGGTCAAAGCGGACTGTTCACATTGAATGTTGGTGACACAGTATAGTTTTTTATTTTTGTTCCGTGTTAACTAATGTCCCTTAACTTCAAGCAAATAAAACCCTACCAACTTCATAAAGTTATTAGTGTTCCCGCATTGATGCTGTTTTTATTACGTGGATTATATATTGGACCCCGAATTTCATGCAAATGCATTTTAGGACGGATCCCATTTGTTATACCTGTCAACTGTTGGCGTTGATGTAGCTGCTGGAAATAATTTTTATGCTGTTAGATTTATGCTGTTATGATTTTCCGTCAATCGGAGATATCATTTCACGTCATCGCACCGTCAGCCGCCTTTGGGACATATTTGAGGCAGGCCATTAATTCAAAATGTAACTTAAACTTCAGGTACAGGCAGAACTTATTATGAATAATCGTAATTTATGTATTATGATTTATTCGTGTTATATGACAAACGCATATGCCTTAGTACTTCTTTCACGTGTGAGATCAATTACTGTCACGAGCGTTATATGCCAGAACGAGGTGTTCGAAGCATATAACGCGAGATGTGTCCGACAGGCAGGTCGTAGGACATATCTGGCCTGTTGGACATATCGGGCCGTCAATATTAAAATTTTAAAATAAATATTAAAATATTGACCTGTAACGATGTTTTTGCTTTTTGCAATGCTGTTAGTGACAAGAGATATGGGCTTGTTTATTTGTGTCCATTTTGCAATTTCATAATACCGACATGAAATATGCGTTTGCACTATACTGCTGTATTTTTGGAATCATATTTATCATGTATATATAGATATTAATATTTCTAATAAAACTTTCTGGAGCTTAATTTGCCACATCCCAGACGCAACATGACATTTAAAATTATTAATTTCTTTACATATTTTCATCTGCCCATCGTCAATTTGTATTTCAGGGCCCCGTATTTGCCTGGGCAAGGGACTGGCTAAAATGGAATCGTTCATTTTCTTCCCCACGTTGCTTCAGAATTTCACCTTCAAGGTACCAGAAGGAGAGAACCCGCCCAGTGAAGTCGAAGGTCTGAACACGTCCACGTTTGCGCCATATGACTACAGAGTGCGCGATGTTAGACGCTAAAATAAATTAATAGGGACCCAGACAATAAACTGCTAGAGGTGTCGTGTGTGTGTGTGTGTGTGTGTGTGCGCGTGCGCATGTGTGTACGTGTGTGTGAGTGTGTGTGTGTGTGTATATTTACCTGGTTGCTTTCTGTAAAAGTGTGTCGTATTACAGTCTATTGGACAACATTTCGAATTGACCACGTTGCACTTCTTACTATTGCATTGCTTTCTTTGATAACATTCTCGGTGTAACAGGAATAGAAGTCCTAGGAATGGAAGTCCGCGGTCCCATATGATAAGTACAGGTTAGGGTTAGTTGGAGTATTGGAGTTAGTATATGGGACGAATGTCACCTTTGCAAAGTAATAGGGAACGGACAACGGTTCCCAGCGGACTTCCATTCCTGTTACACCGGCAACTACAGTTTCTTACCCCACGTTGATTCTAGAAAACTAACTAAACAATATCATGGGTTGTGGCTACAATATTCACGTTTATTTTCTCATTTTTGAGATTCATGTTGTCTTCTGTTTAAAAAATCAAGATCCTATCACTTGGTTTTCGGTTTTGAACATCTTGTCCTCAGAATGGGCTTCTACTCATCCGGGAAATTTAAGAGAACTGCATGAAGACATCTGAATGCATACACGATATTCATCACGATTTTATGTATGGTATTGTCATAACTTAGCTGGTCTCTGATATAAGATGTGGAAATACATATGCATGCTCTCAAGATCGCAGTTAGGCTGAGCAAGTAGTTTTTTGTTAAAACACTTTGGGTTGAAGTAGACGGATAACTTTTGCGTTTGGTTTTTAAAAGTGTGAAATCTCGACATCTCTTCATGTGAGTGACGTTAAAAACATGGTTGCATAATACCTGCACGTACACACGTATACATTGCACATAAAGGTGTCAGGAAATGACCTTGTTTGGTAAAGGTTACGTGAATAAGGTATTACAGTGGTATACTGCTTATGCAGTTCTAGCTTTTACAAAAAAACTGAAAAAGTTGCTGTAACTGTGGAATTCAATATGTCTGAGTTTTTTGCAACCCTTGGTTTGCCGACAGTTTTGATATTCGTGACAGTGTTGTTGTTAAGTCTGTGGATGTTGTCGTCGAGGAATCCTCGGGTGAACTGGCCGCCCGGACCTGTCTGTTTCCCCGTGGTGGGATGTCTCCCTCAGCTGATGATCAGCGGTAGAAGACGACAGCCGACAGATCTTCTTCCATGGTATGATACATACGGAGATATCATGCACATCAAACTTGGTGAACAACACATGATAATGCTGGGCACATATGAGCTGATAGAAGAGGCTTTTGTGAAGAATACAGCCACAGTCAGTGCTAGGCCTACTTGGATATATCTTATAAGACGATTAGTTGGAAAAGACGGTAAAGTAATTTCAACATTAGCGAATGTTAGCTATCCAAATCTTCGTGTGCGATGGAATTTGTTACGCATAATTAAAGCTTCCCTTTATGCAGCAGTGCGTTACGAATACTCAAGTTTTACATGAATATAGGAACTGCCCCATTTTTCATTATATAGATTTTTTTTTTATGAAACCCGACTACTTAATTAAGTCTGCATGTAAAGCAGGG